CGTCTAATATGTGCTTAATATTCATTGGCTGATGGCGAATACAATAATGGCCATGTTTCTCAAGATACACCAATTGCCTCATGGACAATTCCCTTCATGCACCTTGGACAGTGACACTGTCTGCCAAATTTCAAGTCAATCAGACTAACGTGTGCATAGTTACAGCCATTTTCATGTTTTTTTTTTTCTGTTATAGTGGTCAAACTCCACAATTTTTGTAATTTGACCAAAGATTGAGCTCATTCATATGTTTGGTAAATACAGCTCATTCCATTCAAGAGTTATAGCCATTTTAGTAAAAGTGGCCCCACCCACTTTTAATGTTTTTGCGTCCTGTTCTGACCGACAATGGACCGACAACTTGATTTTAATAACTTTTGCTAATCAAATTCCAGAGAACTTTTCTGCACTGGTTTGGTTCCAATTGGGTGAAAAACCTAGGAAAAGTAGGTTTTGTGAAAAATTCAAAATGGCGGAAGAAAATAATAACTATAAAATATATAAAAATTATATAACTATAATATATATATAACTATATATAAAATAAAATCTTGTTTGTCTTGAGTCAAGGATTCCAATGATATAAGGCACCTGAGTCTATGACAAACGGTCTAGGAGTTATAAGCGATTTTGTATTTTTGATCATCCCCTATTGGCCGATTAGGGTGAGTCTTTGCCAGTGTCTTCCCAAATGGAGCTCTACCATCTGGCCAAGTTTCAAGTCTCTAGAGCCTTGTTCAGACTGTCAGTCCAAATCCGATTTTTGTTCATATCAAATTGGAATCCAATCTAAATGACTGACTATCCACACTGTGTATCGCAACTGCTCAATTCTGATTTGTGTGTCCATGGCGCTCTTTCGTTTTACTAAATATCTGCATTGGTTTCTATGGCAATGACGTTCTGTTGGTATGCCTACGCTAAAAACAACAATAAGAGCAATACAGTTTGCAATACAGATGTTGTCTTACAACATGACGACATGTTGCCGTCGCTATGGATTATAATAAGGGATAATAATATTACGTCAAGGTAGGAAGCTGCATGTGCGGCTTTATTCCATATTGCCGTCTCCGCTGGTCTCAAAACTCTAAGAGGTGGGTAGACTAGCAGTATATTGTAATTTTCCGCTTTACTTGCTATTCACAACAACACAACCTTCACTGTGTCCGAAATCGCATACTTCCCTACTATAGTATGTGAAAAACAGTATGTGAGGCAAGTAGTAGGGCTGTGCAAAAAATCGAATGCGATTTTCATGCGCATCTCGTCAGTAAAGCCGCTTCTGGTGATTAGTAGTAAATCTCCAGCACGTGCTTTCAGATGGAGCGGCATTTACAACTCAGAGCCGTAGTTCACTGACAAGCTACACAAAATCGCGCTCAAAATCGGCAATGAATCGCCTGCGATTTTGAACGCGATTTTGTGTAGCTTGTCAGTGATCTACGGCTCTGTGTAGTAAATGCCCAGCCCTAGCAAGTAGTATGTCCGAATTCATAGAATTCAAAGAACAGTAGGTGAACAGTACCCAGATGACTACTACTTCTGCCTGGATTCTGAAGTGTGCATTTGATGGACACTTTATGGATACTATTCCATGAAGCCACAGGAGAGAATTTATGAATGGCAGTGAAGCTACGAAACTGACGCTGGTAGGTCATGTGACAGTAACAACATGGCGTATGTAGTACATCCGAATTTCATTCATACTACCCATATTCATACTATATAGAACGTACTTTTTAACGGTCGTGAAGTAAATTCAAATGTAATATTTACTCACTAGTACGCGATTTCGGATGCACCACTTGTTTCTGCAAGGACAGTAAATTCAAATGTAATATTGTGCTGACTGTGCATGCGGCTCAAGCGGTCAGACTGTTCTTGGCAGTTTGCTCGAGCTCAACGTGGTTGAGTTGACAAAGACTCAGTTAAAAGTAGGGCTGAACGATTTTGGAAAATAATCAAATTGCGATTTTTTTTACCAATATTGTGATTGCGATTTAATATGCAATTATTTTTTTTAAAGCTCTTTATGTTCTGTATTATTCAACAAAGACAGCACTCAGTATGCAGCTACAGCAACTTTTCTAATGTGTTTACTTTTCATGTGGCGTGAGAATCTGAAGCGGTCAGACTGAAACGGATTTCCAGGAATGCGATTTGAATAGGATTTCAAAACTCAAAACGGAGTTGCAAAAATCGGATTTCATATAGTTCGTTGTCATTCAGACTATCTAAATGATCGGATTTCAATCGGATTTGCACAAAAATCGGATTTGGCCCGACAGTCTGAACCAGGTCTAGGATGTATACGGTTTGGTCTGCACGATCAGTTTTACGGCAGAATAATAATAATAATAATCCTTACAATTACAATAGACTTTAACCCCTAATAAATAGATAAAACGGCTCACATAATTTTCTGTCTGACTTCCTAAAGGTTGATCTTGAGCGCCGTCTGTGTTGCCAGACGTACGATAATTATCCAACCCTCTACGGACACCTTGGCAATTGAATCGCCATTGGCTAGTAATTTTTTTAGTTTACTCACCAGACTGATATATATATATATATATATATACACACAGCCGTGGTCA